GTAAAGGCATTCCGTAAAATAAAAAGGGGGGGTAAAGCAGCTGGAACTGATGGGTCATACGGGAAATGTTAAAAGCGGGGGGGGATTTTAGTTTGGGAAAGTGGTTGGAAACTTTTTGTTTAAAAAATTGTATGAAAGGGGGGAAAAGGAAACCTGGGGGATTGGAGGAGAGCTTTGTTTTGTCCCTTTATTTTAAAGGGGAAAAAGGGGCCCAAAAGAGACTGTAAAAATTAAGAGGATAAGCTTCTGATTTAAAACCAGGAAAAGTGAAAAGGGTTTGGGTTTAAAATTTGGAAAGAATTGAGGTAAGACAAAAATTGTAGGATTGCGGATGGCAAGGGGGTTTTCCCAGAGTGGGTGGGGGATGTGTAGATAAAAGTGTTTACATTGAAGCATATTTGGTGAAAAAATTTTTTTAAAGATAAAGGTAGGGAATTTTTTTTATTGCTTTTATGGATTTAAAAAGGGGGCATTGATAAGTGGTTTGGGAGGAGCAATGGGGCCCGATTTTGGGGGAAAGTATAGGGAAAAAGGTGGTAAAGTTTTAAATTTAAATGCTTTTTAAAATTTTTTTTTATGAGGATAGTGAGGTCGGGTTGGGGTGTGTAGAAGAAGGGAGACACTTCCCAGAAAAAAGTATTTCTTAAACGGGGATTGTAATTTTCCCCCCAGGGGTTGTTTAATAATTTAAGAGGGGGTTTTTAAAGGAAGTAAATCCCGGGAGGTGTTCGGGAGAGGGGTGGGTTTAAAAATTTTGGGGAACCCAAATTTCAAAAGGGGAATTTGGGGCACATTTTCTTTTTGCTGATGTTTCCTGTGTTATGGGAGTTTCCCAAAGAAAAATTGAAAAAGGTTAGTGGATGAGTTTGGGAATGTGTGTAAAGGGGAGAAAGTTGAAAAGTGAACATAGAAAAGGTTTAAAGGGGGTTAGGGTGGGCAAAAGATTTTTGATAAAGGGAAAAAATTTTATATCCAAAAATTTGGGGGAAAAGGATTTTGGAAAAAAGTGGGAAAGGGGTTTTCCCGATACTTGGGGGTTGACGTGTCGGGGGGATGGGTTTTATGAAGGATGAGGGGTTAAACATAGAATTTGGGTGGGGAAAAAAGGGGAGTGGGGCGTTTTTAGGTATATGTTGGAGTCAAAAAAAAGTTATTATGGAGGGAAAAAAGGGAATGTAGAAAATATAGTATACCAAAAACTCTTTTTATGGGTGTGAAGCTTGGGTGGTAAATGCGCAGCGAGGAGACGGTTTGGGGGGCAGTGGGGGAAAGTCCTGTTTAAGGGCAATTGTGGGGGTTTTAAATTTTTTATGCAGAAAATTTGGGAAATGTGGGGAAAATTTGGAGAAGGTGTGGGGTTAATAAAAAATATTAGTCAGGGGCAGAAGAGGGGTTGTTGAGGTGGTTTGTTTATTTAGAGAAATGGGTCAAAATAGAAGACCCCGGAAAAACAAAAATAAATCTTTTAGGGGAAGGAAGGTGGGGTAGGGGTCGGGCCTGGAAAAGGGTTTGGGGAAAAGGGGGTAAAGGAAAATTTTTGTGGGCAAGGGGGGTTGGACTTCCAGCAAGCGTGCGTGAGCCGGGGTTAGATTGGGGAAAGAATGGAGACGAAAGGTACTTGGGACCTGCGAAATTTTTGGAGTGTGGAAAAGGGGAATTTTAGTGAAGGGATTCAGGGAAACCTGTTTTTTTTTTATATAGTCGGACTTTTAGTCCGGGGAAAGGGGGAAATACAAAAGCCCGCACTTTAAAAACCCTTTTTCTGTTTCAGGGGCCCCCCCTGAAAAATGTCATTCTATGTCGCTCAATTTTTTTAAAAAAAAAAAAAAAATTTTTTTTTTATGAAAAGAAGAGAAAACTTTTCCCGATGGGAAAGGGCACCAAAAGTTTAAAAAATTTTGGGCGAAAACTCGTGGAATTATGGTCCCCCCAAGTTTTGCGGTCTCGGCGACATATGTGAAACGGCGATTTTGCCGGGCTTTGAGCCCAATTTTTTAGCCCAAATTCCCTTGTTCCAGTTTTACCAAACTCATAGCTATTTCTTTTGAAAAATCCTTTTTATCTATCAGCTGAGTACAAGAAACCTCCCCTTTTTTCTAATTTGGGGCCCACCAATATGGTGGTTTAGAAATTGGGGAAATTTTGGGCCCAAATTTTACGCCCAAAAAAAAAAAAAGATGCCAATTTTTAAAATAGGGTCCAGAATAAACAAGGTAGACATTCGTGCACTAAAATAACATATGCCTGTTCATTAAATTTAAAATCTCTGGCCCCTCTTTTTATTATTTTGCTTTTATTTTGTTTTTTTTTTCATACAAAAAAATAAAAATTTACTGTTATGCAGACGACCCGCTTATTGTAAAAATTGGGATAAAAAATATAGTCACTAGTGAAAGAATTTTTAGATCCCCAGTTGACCCTGTAAATTGGGCGTGTGGTTGGGGATTTTTTACTCCCTTTAAATTGGGAAAAAACGAACAGTTTGGGTACTTGAAACTTTAGTTTCAAGGTCGTTTTTTTTCGTAAAAGTAATGAAAAAATCTTATTTCTGTAATATGGGTTTTTCCCTTTTATCACCTAAGACCATGAAAAAGCGAAATTTCAATGATTTAAATTTCTATACGAAAATACACCTCAAAATCCCGGCGTTTTTTCCAAAAAAAAAGATCAGAGTTTTTTTTTTTTCATTACCCCAAAAAGTGTGCGCAGGATTTTTTTTATGTGGTGCCCCACTGCCCAAAACCCCGACCCATTCTCTCACTGTGGGCCTACCAGCTTTCCCACTTGTTTTGAAGCCCCCTTTGAATTTTTTGAGTATATAAACTCCCGAAAACATTGGGTCGTAAAGACGTATTTATACTTTGAAAAAAAGTCAAAGGGTTAAAGGAGGGGTTTTGGGGTATTGGCAGTTTGGAGGGAAAATGTTGTGTATCTTTATATGTGTATGCTTCTAGGTGTTGTATTCTTTTAGCACCCCCTGGGAAAAACAGTTTATAATGTGCGAGTGGGTGAAAAATGTTGAATGGTGAAAAAAGTATTTTTCCTTTTTTGGGGGTTTTCTTTCTTTTTTTTTGGGTCACCCTGTCCCCGGTGGGAAACGGGGCCCACTTGTTGAAAAAAAAAAAAAAAAAAAAATAAAAAAAATTATATATATATATATAAAATATATAAATATATATATTTATATTTATATATATATATAAATATTATAATATTTTAGTTTATTTTTAAAATTTTAAACATATATATATATATAAATTTTTTTTACATATATATAATTTTATAATATATATATTCATTATATATACATATTTTATATAAATATATTTATAAATATATATATAAATAATATATATATACATATAATATATAAAATATAATTTAAAAATTATATATTATATAAATATGATATTTTATTTTATAATATTTATATATATTAATATATTTTACATATTTAATTTTATATAATTATATATACATTTATATATATATAATTTTATATTATATATTAATTTTTATATTAAAATAATATATATATATATTTTATAATTTAAAATATATATATATATAATTTAAATATATATTATATATATTTATATATAATTAATATATAATTATATAATATATTTTATATAAAATTTTTTATTATATTTAATATATATATATATAATTTTTTAATATTATATAATAATAAATTTAAACGGAAAAACCCCCCGGGTTTAAAGAACTTTTTTTATTCCAGTAGTATGTTCAGTGGCAGTACTGCCGGGAAATTTTTTCCCCCTAAGGAAAATTGTGAAGTAGATTTTGTCCAAATTTAGACCCCCCAAAAATACACTACAAACGCAATTACATAAATACACTTAAATAATGGTCCCCTTTTGGGCCCCGTCGTTAAGCGGGGTCCACTGTATATATATACACAGGTCTCCCTCAACATTCACGAGGGTTAGTGGATCAAGAGCCTCGCGAATGTTGAAAAACCCTGAATGTTTGGTGCCCCAATATATTGTAGGGAAATATAATACAATACTGCTTCCTTAACTTGTTGAACCATGAACAATCATAAAATACATGAAAACATCATAAATTGTACTAAATATATACATGTTATGCTTTAACCCTTTGAGGGTCGACAGGCCCTCTCCGAAACTCGTTCTCAGGGTCGGCCAAATTTAAAAAAAAAAAAAATTATTTTCTCTTATGAAAAGATAGAGAATCTTTTCCTGATCATAACGACACCAAAAGTTTGAAATTTGATAGAAAACTTACGGAATTATGCTCTCGCAAAGTTAGCGGTCTCGGCGATGTTTACGCATCGGCGATTTTGCCCAAATTTGAGCCCCATTTTCGGCCAATTTCACTGTACTAGTTGACAAAAGACATGAATATTTCGCTAGAACTCCATTTTTTCTATCGAATGGGTGCAAGAAAACACCCATTTATAAATTCAACTATCCAGTACAGTGGTCAGAAAATTTAGCAATTTTGCCAATTTCACACAAATTTCAAAAGATGCCAATTTCCGAATAGGGTCCAGAATAAACAAGAAAGACATTCCTGGCACTAAAATGACATTTCCTCTAGTCATTAGTCACGTCTCAAGGCCCCTCTTATATTCTTTTGCTTTCCACTTTGAATTTTTATTCTCACAAAAAATAGAAGATTTACTGTTATGCAGACTACTGCATTAGTGTAAAAAATGTATAATATTATTGGTGCACTTGTGAAAGAATATTAGACTCACCAGTTGACTGTATTGCACGCTTGGCACGATTTCTTTACTTTTGAAGTTTGGTAAAAATCGAACATTTCTGCTACTTTGAGCTCAATTTCAAGGCACCTTTCATTGTAAAACCAGTCAAAATCATCTCAATTTCAGTAATATGTCTTCTATTCTATAAAATGAGACCAAGAAAACTAGAATACAACAATAAATACCATACGAAAATACACTGCAAAGTCGCTGATTTATTAAAAAAAATGGTCAAAGTTTTTTT